TATGAGGGAGAACATACAATTTTTGGTCTTTTGGGCCAGGCTAACCTCACTCAGAATGATGTTCTCCAGTTCCATCCATTTACCTGCTAATGATAACATTTCATTCTTCCTCATGGCTGCATAATATTTGGAAGCTATTTCTATAACATTTTTTCCATGTACATTTAGTTGTGTGACACAAAGGGATTGTTTTCTGGTGCCTGAAATAATTTATCCAGGTAAACTGCAGACTTATATTATTATTGTGGATGACCTAATAATAAATATAGCCCCCAAACTTCAAGTGACTTCTGAATTGATTGTTTTGACATTCTAATGCCTATAAAGCAGATGAAAACTCCATGCCTGGTGTCTGGTAACCTCTAGTTCTCAGTACAACCAGGAGGCCATGGCTTTTCTGGACATCTCAAGCACCACAGATGCCTCCTATTGAGTTCATTTTTGTTTCCCAGAGGGAAGGAAAATGGCTGAAAGGAAAGTTAGTGCCTTACCAGTCTGTCTTGCAGGGGCAGGGGATTAGGTAGAAGAGACATGTCCTAGGGAGGAAAAAAAGGCAATGGGAAACAGAATCATTGCTTCTGGGTGAAAAAGTGACTCAGATAAGTCAGTGCACAGCACAGGCTTCCTGACAGCCCCTCTTTAATCATCTCTGTGATGGGTGAAGTGTCACAGAACACACGGATTACTGTTTCACTCTGAAGTTCTGCTGTTAGCAAATCCAGTTGATGGATTTTCATGATGAGTTGAATCCCTGCATGTGCTTACAGGAAGGAGAGAGGTAGAGAAGGTTCCATTTCCCTCACAGAAGCTGGCAGCTGCCTTCTTCTGGCCACCTCCTCAGACTTCGTAGATCCATTGTGGTACTAGTGGGTGCCAGAAACAACAGCCATGTCAAGTCACACTTCAGGACTGAACAAAGTTATCTCTGTCCAGCACATTTCCAAATGCAATGAAAAAAATGTATGAACAGATGGAGGAATTCGCTTGTTCCATTTCCCTTTGGTGAATCTTAGGAACTCTTTTACCCATAGTATGTTTGTTTTACATACTTTTAAGTTTTTTTCCCAGATATAAAATCCAATATTTGAAAGTTGGTTCTGGCAAAGTCAACCAAATAGCTCTTACGTTAATTCCACAGATGTGTTTATTTGTTCATGTCTGGAATACTTTCTGTCCTCAGATTTCTGCTCCATACAACCAAGGCATGGCAATAATTAACTATTTTGGGGGGGCTTAAGGCTCACTCTATTTGTTAAAAAACAAATAAAATAGAAGAAGATGAGCATGTTGAATAGAAAACATGATTAGTGTTTTATAATTTTAATTAATTGATGCACCAAATAGCATAAAGCAGTGTAATTAATTTTTGTCAATTATAATATCAACTTACTGTTTTTATTCTTGTCCTTCTTATTTGCATTTTGCTTTTTTTTTTCCAACAAGGGGTTTGAACTAAGGGCCTAGTGCTTTCCAGGCAGGTACTCTACCCATTTGAATCATCCACCCAACCCTGTTTGATTTGGTTATTTTTTTGAGTAGGGTCTTTCATTTTTTTCTGGGACTGGCCTGGGTACCTCTTCTCATACTTCTCATATTAGGATGAAAGGCATGGACCACTACACCCAGCATTTTGTTGTTGGGATGGGTC